GAGCAAAAGCGATTCTCTCAAAAGCAGCTCCTTGCATTGGTTTTGTTCTGTAGATTTTTAGCACAATGGAAAGCTGCTCTCACATTGCAACAGCCATTGCAATTGCAACCGAAGAACTGTCTGCGCTTGAAGTTCCAAGTTCGGCTTGGAGTTCCAATTTTGAATTCAGTCAACATGTGCTGCATTTTTGAAGTGCTGCACATTTGAAGGCTAACATTGATTTTGCAAAAGGGGAAGCCGCAGCATTACGCCTTTTGTTCAACGAGCACCCGAGTAGCAGCATAAGTCATACAATGGTGCACCACTTTGCCAAGAACATCTCTGACACGGCCAGGGAGAGGTGGAGAGTCAGATTTGGCAAAAGAACGCGCTTTGACAAGCACCTGCAAAAGTTGAACAGAGTGTTACACGTTGCAAGGCCCAGTAAAAGGGTCCCCGCAAGGGGTACCGTAAACATGAAACTAGTGAGGCACTCTCCTCTCTTCACCCGCGCGCGGCGCGGATTTCCTTCTCGGCGGTCCGAAGTCTCTGCGAGGGACCACATGGGGTTCATGCGACCTGCCGGTCTGCGGAATCTCGGGCTCAAGAGGCCAAGACGGGAGAGGACACGTTAGTGAGAGGCGTGCATTGATTGAAGCACTGCGCTGAGCTGCGTGAACACTCATTGCGGCATGCCCGCGAAGTTGTCGGCGCGCTAGCAAGCCCAAATCCCCCACCCCCAAAACCTCCAAACTCCCAAACCAATCTGCCAGAGCTCACAGTTTGAAGCTGCGAATGGCCCTTGTCTTTCTCAGCAGAGTGCCGAGTGCCCTGACAGCTGCATGTCCAATGCCAGCAGCATGTCGCCTAAGCCAATTCCCGCCTTCCCAAGTCACGGTGCGCTTGGCGACCTCTGGGGACATTTGATCTCGGCGTCCTGGCGCTCAGGCGGAATCCAACTGAAGTGCCTAGGTCCTTGGGGAGCAACTAAAGACTCAGACCGTAGGCAAGCTGCACAAGTGCAATATCCGTCTAGTTCCATGTCTAGTTCCATGGCTTCCGAACATCGAACTTGCCCCATCACCCTTCCCAAGTCTTGGTGCTTGCGCAAAGATATCCTTAACCCTAAAATCGAAGTTGTGGATAGCCCCCAAAGCAGCCCCCGAACGATGCCTGGGCTTGGGCCTTCGGGGGGAGTCAGCCGAACCTCAAATCTGAAATGGCCGCGGATGCGGCGCTTCGCGGCGTCCTGCCGCAAGCTCGAAGCCCGAGACCCCGGGCAACGGCATGTTGCGTCCTGCGTGGCACCCAAACCCCAAAGCTGTCAAGCGTCCCATAACCCACCTCGATGTGAAGCCTTGGGAACCTACTTGTCTCAGTGAGCTAAGAGTGCAACGCCACCTATATTCATCAACCAGCCCCATCCAGCAGGTTGGTTGCTTCCTTCATCCAGTCCAACACCTCGCTGCGCTCAAATTGTCTGGCTTGCAAACAGTGCGGGGCATTGCAACTCTCTCTCTCTCACACACACACACACACGCACTCACATGGCAAATGTTAGAGATGCTGAAACCGATCTGGAATGAATCATTTGATTTGGGTGTTCAAGCATGTTCAGAATGGCTCTGCTGGATCCTTGGGCGGGGCCCACGTGTGGAAGATGGCAGGCAGACACAGGCCTGCGCTACCTCAAGTATATTCATTTACAATGCCAATTTTGGGCTCAAGACACGTGTCCGTGCAACTTCACTCAAAGCCCTCATGATTTCCCTGTGCCAAATCCCAAGTCTCCCGGGCATTGGCATGCTCTTGCCCGTATCCCGTAGAATGGAAGAAGGGGCCCATGCCAGTCGGCCCCATGAAGATGCTTGACGCTCGTCACTCAAAATGTGTTGTTTGATTAAAGGGGGCTTCAACGGCTTTTGCGCACCTACATGTCAATCCAGACGAAAGGTTGCAATAGCGACCCGGCTGGAGAAAGGCTCCTGACCACGTCGCAGTGCGCTCCATCAAGAACGGGCTCATGTCCGCAACTGGCAATCCGATCCGGACACACGCCAAAGCTAGCGAAGCGGGGGATCGAAGAGTCGGGCGAAGAGAAGGACAAATTATGTAGAGAATCTGCTTGTGAGGTACCCTATCTGCAAAATCAGACATGTATTTGTATCATCCAGCAGGTCGCAGGTCGGCTGAGTCTGTGCAAGACTGCAACTCAGCCGATCCCAAATCCCAACAGAGCAACGAGCCCCCCTTCCCCACAACCATCAGGGGCCTTTCAATCCTGGTGGTGCTTGAAATCCAGACTTCCAGATTGTCTCCACGCTCTTGGACTTCCAGGCCGACGCCATTTCTTTGGGACCTGGCGGCAGTGTCTGCATTTCCTTCTCAACGGCCATAAAACGCTCGCACAAAAAACACTCGTCAAAAGACGGGATCCGCGCAGCCGAAATAACACAAGCAATAGCACCCGGGCTGCCTCGCAAAACAAGCACTGTCAGCAACTGCCACAGCACCTGGAGCACACCAAGTAAGCACCTTGACCAAGCAGCACCCTTGTCGACACCCTGACCAGAACCACAACAGCACCTCACCAGCACCCAGCACCTGACTGTGTTGCCGAACAAAACAACGCGGCACCTTGAGCACCCTGACCGCAGCTCCGAAAGTAACCGCAGCACCTTAAGCACACAAACAAGGAACCTGACCAGCACCCAAACTGCGCGCAAAACAGCAGCGTGACCAGCCCCCTGACCAGTATCCACCGGCACCACAACACACATAGCACCCTGACCAGCACCCTGACCAGCACCCTGACCAGCACGCTGACCAGCACCCTGACCAGCACGCTGACTGGCACCCTGACTGCAGCGCCAAAACAACCAGCTAGTAACCACTACCGCAGCTCCTGAAGCACACCCAAAACAGCACCCTGACCGGGCCGGCAGCCTGGCCAGAACACAAACTGCACCAGCTCAGCACTGACCAGCACCTGCAGCACCCTGACTGCAGCGAAGCGCCGAAAGTAATCACCGCAGCACCTTAAGCACACAAACAGCAACCTGACCAGCACCCAAACTGCGCCAAAACAGCAGCGTGGCCAGCCCCCTGACCAGTATCCACCGGCACCACAACACACATAGCACCCTGACCAGCACCCTGACCAGCACCCTGACCAGCACCCTGACCAGCACGCTGACCGGCACCCTGACTGCAGCGCCAAAACAAGCAGCTAGTAACCATAAACAGCACCCTGACCGGCACCCTGGCCAGCACACAAACTGCACCAGCTCAGCACTGAGCAGCACTTGCAGCACCCACTTGGCTAAACAACCCTCTCTTTTTTAGAAGCAAGAACCCTGCAGCTAAGCTATCTGGTGAAAAAACGCGGGTTCGCAACAGCGCCCTCATTGATGTCACACTCGCCCCATCTCTTCTTGAAGGGCACCCCTGTTGAGGTTGGTTTAAAAGAAACCAAGAGGAAAGCAATTGTGGGGTCAGGTATGTCAAGTCAAAGCCCATTTCTCGGTGGGGTCAATCGGTTCATGTCGTGCATGCGCCCTTCGACCACCCCCGACCTTCGAGCCCGGCCTGCGAACATCCCGGACGTCTCGGACTTGGAGTTGGTCTTCTCAACCTGGCGGATCACGGGTCCCAAAATCCAACGCTATGCCATGTTTTTGTTTGAACCCTTAAGGGAAACCAATGAAAAACCACCTGTTTGGGAGTCCCAAGATTTGCAAACAATGGTAAACGCCCATAAAACTAGTTTGTTTAACCACCCGTCAAGATGGAGCGTAGTTTTGTTGGTGCTGTTCAAAGCTGAAAATCGAATGGTCGGGTTCATGTTGCTCGTGATCTGCAACAAGCAAATTCTGGCGTTGCTGCTAGTCATGCATCTCCGGCGAGGAGGGGTTGTAACCACGACTGGCAATGAAATCTAAAACCGCGCCAAAACTTTAGCACAATCCCGACAAAAAAAAAAACAAGCTCGACAAAGCACGGGTTTGGCCCAATCGCATTGGATCTGCACATTCTGAGTTAGACGGCCTTCTTGACTAGGAAACGACCGTCTCGGTACTAATCAGCGATTTGGGCGCTGGATCTGTGGATTTTGAATCAAACGACCGTTTGACTAGGAAAAGGATCTGTGGATTTTGAGTCAAACGGCCGTTTGTAGGAAAACGCGATTTGGGCGCTGGATCTGTGGATTTTGAGTCAAACGACCGTTTGACTGGGAAAGCGCGATTTGTGCGCTGGATCTTAGATTTTGTGTCAAACGACTGTTTGACGAGGAAAGCGCGATTTGGGTGCTGGATCTCAACTTGGGCGCTGGATCTATGGATTTTGAGTCAAACGGCGGTTTTACTAGGAAAACGCGTTTCTATGGATTTGGGGTCAAATGGCCGTTTGACTAGGAAAACGCGATTTGGGCGCTGAGAAAAACCTGAATAGACAGATCTGTAATGGAAAACCTGAAAAGACGTGCTGTCGGGATGGACAATTAAAAATTGTCAGTGTTTATATGTTGTCTGGTCGTTGTTCCACAGTATCTGTCATTGTTACGACTCCTCCTGGAACCGAACATATCTGTTCATGTCATCCGGTTGTCTTGACTACCAGAGGGGGCGCTGTCCGGGGCCCTCAGGAATCGTCACAGAATGACTATTAAAAGGTATTAATTAGTCAATTAGTTGTTGAATGGATATATTATGGTTTTCACCGCTCGCCGCCCGATGGATATCTCCTTGAGGCCTCATACAAGTCCGCAAGAGCAAGCCTTTGTTGTTTTGTATCCCCACACCCACCCAACCCCAACCTCAACCCCACCCCCCGGCCGGCCCTCCCAACCCAAACACCCCCCACCTTGATCTTCGTCTGTGCCTCGAGGATCATAGCCACAGAGACGTGCTTGCGGATAGCTTCCCGGATGTGCGCTACTGGCACTCCCCCCCTCAGTCAAACCCCGCGGGAAGATCAATTCCCAAACTGGAAAGAAAGGGGAGTCCCAAGCTAGAGCCATTTAATCCCCCAGCGAGCGCGTTAATTGCAAGAGCAAAGCAGTCAAACTGAGCAAGGGCTCATAGTGAAGGAATCACAGGGCCTTGCCAAGCTGCATTATTCCCCCCGCTCCCTCCACCCAGACATCTTGCTTGCCGTCACCTGTGAACGATAATGAGATCTCAAGATAATTCTCATCTGGTCATGCAGACTTGCTTCAAAAATCAACTTCCTTTTTCGGAAGAACCTGCCCCGCTACCACAACCGTGGACTGATGCGAAGGGCAGGGACCCCTAGGCAATAGATGGTACACTTTGGTGCCTTGGATCTATTTTAAGGGACTCAGTCCTATCTGGAGGCGCAAGTATTGCTGTCAGGATTTCATTTACATGATAAGTTTGCAGAGGACATTTTTAGTCGTATTGGTGATTAGTGTTTTGAGCTGGTGAGTGAGTGGTCGGTCTGGTCAAGTTTCGGTCTCAGGAACTCATTCCTTTTGCTCATCCGTCCCGTTTTTTGCATGCCGGCCCCAAGAGGCAGCCGATGTGCCCCTGAGCCTGTGCCACGAGTGACTGACTCTGGAGCTGCATTGGGGGGGCAGCGAAGCTGATATCGCAGCATGTTCATTTTGTGGGCACAACGTCATACCCAGAGACAAAAGCAGTTGTAAGACATGTGCCGCACCGCAGCCGTAGATCAAGCGCCTTCATGAAAGGGAAGCCTTAGTTGAAGGTCCCGGGAACATTTAAGTGTTGAAGTGACTTCTTGAAGTTATTTAGCTCAAATGACTGGAACACCGCAGCAGGAACGCAAGCGAGACACCATCGAGACATCACCACAAGCAGAAACCGCCACAAACACAAACGACACCACGCACACACACACACAAACCACAAAAAAACAATCCAACACCACCAAACACCAGGAGAAAACAAGGCACCACCAAAAATAGAACCAAGCCGCCACCAAAACACAACCGGGACACCGACGGGACACCACCAAAACATCACTGCAACCGCGATGGAAAACCACCAAATACACTTGAAGACCCCGTAGCTGAACGCTATTGGGAAAAAGGCCCTCCGCAACCAGATTTTCCTATGCAAGGAGACACCTTCAGATTGCATCCTTTTGGGGGGGCTTTCTCGCACCTGTGCTCTTACCGAATGCCACTGATGCATCCACCCCGGAGTGCCTTGCTATGTCAGTGTGAGTCTTGAAAAGCTGTTTGGGGGGGAGCAAAGCCAGTTTAAAAGTACAAGCACACTCGGTGGAATCGATTGCTACCACTCAAGCAGCCAAGCGGCTCAAAGACCAATGGGGCGTTGGCATTGTCGAGCGCTTCAAGACCACACCGAGCAACAAAGTACGCCAAGTTGCTCTGCAGGCCCTGAAGCCAAAGGCAGGTAGCTATTCATTGATGTTGTATCAATATACATATACCAAAAAAAACATATATATATATATACACACCTTGTATTTGCTTTGTATACATATACATAATATATATATATATATATATGTACATGTTGCAGGTCCCAGGTCGACGAGCAGACCAAGCAACCAAAGGCCAAGGGACCAGCAGACCAAAGGACAGGCCAACCAGCCGGCCAGCCGCTGAGCCAATGCTGAATGCTATGGCCCGAGCCAAAAACACTCATTCCAACAACACGTCGCACGTGATAAACCTGGATTTCCATCACAACGTTGAAGACAGGAACCATTCTGATTCTCCTTATGCGGCGCTAAAACAGCTTGATGATGGTTGCCCCTCATCTGTTGTTTGATGTTTTGACGTGCAGCAGTAAACTCCAGCCACCTCTTGAATGGACTGGCCAGACACTCAACGATTTGCTTGCCTGGTGATTCCTTCACGGCAGTCGGGGAAGCCAGGCACCCGGTGCCTAAACTCGAAATGAGCCAAGGCATTTCTGCTCGATGTAACGAATGGCAAAGTTCGAAGTTGGCAACACGACCTTTGCGAATCACGTCACTTGAGGTGTACGCGACTGCTGAATTTGTTGCTCGAGGCCACTTCTGTTTTCATGTGGCCTCAAAAGGTCGCCCTGGTTCCCATTGAAAGCTTCCTCACAGCCCCAGCCAAGTTTGTAAGTCACGTCCGACGCCCGGAACATTCAATGGCTAAACTGCTGATCCCACGACCGTGCCTGAATGTTCGCCTTGCCAACCACCACATTGCTCCAAAGCCTCCGGCGTTTTGCCCGGCTTCAGCAAGTGAATCGACTCTCAAGCACCAATGCCTGTTGCTTTTGCGACACTAGGAACCAGACCAACCACGTATTCACTGCACAGCTTTCTGCTGAGTGAGATAAGATTGGCATGTCTCTGGCAAGACAAGCTGCCCCTGCTCCAAACTGTTCGCCATGAAGTACTCGGCCGCCCTCAAAGCCGTCTCATGATTGGCCTGAGCGTCAAGCCATGCCAGTTCAACCAACGATTCGATCCACGCAAATGTTGCGGAAGAGTTGCCAAGTGACTATTCCAAAGGCAAGGCGAAGAACTTAGCACGGATGTGTCCCAAAAAGCCGGGCAGAATGGAATGCAGGCACAAGGAAAATGTGCCTTACTAGCAGTGCATCCAAGTAGGACATTGAACGCACCACTCGCTGTCAGCGAATCAAGCAAGCTGAGTCGGTGCACGGCAACAGTAGCCGGAATCAGTTTGTGGGAAGCAGGATGCAGGCACGGTTTCAACATATACCCGTCCATGTTACCTGCAACTCTCTACAAGAAACTGCAATTTTGTCAGGACGTGTTGCTTTTGGGCGACCTTCCGGCACTCCGCCGGCCATCTGGCCAATCCAGGTAGCAACAAACTCGAGATAGGAGCCAATGTGCCACGCACTGCGAAGCACTAACAGAATATGACGCCAGTTGGTGCCAAGGGCTTTCAGGATAACCTGTCTACAGTGTCATGGACCCCTGGGGAAGTCTTAGGTGGGGGGGGGGGCTAATGGGCTTATTCACAAGCACTGGGTAAGACCCTGTCAGTGCAGTTCAGGATAAGCCGTAATAAGGGGTTATCGGTTATCCAGCCTTATTAAGGCCCTGATAAAGTCTTAACAAGCGCTTATCCAGAAAATAGCTAAAGCCCTTTTTCAGGCCTCAATAAGGGACGAGTAAAATAGTATGCTATTAAGGCCTTAATAAGGACTCATCCTTGCTCTTGTCTTGTCCTCAGGATTTGCGCTCGGTTCAACTTTGCACTTCGGCTTGTCCTTGGCTTATCCTGCCTTCTCCTTGGCATATCCTTGGCATATCCTTGGCTTATCCTGGCATATCATTGGCTTATCATCGGCTTATCCTGGCTTATAATGGGCCTATCCTGGCTTATCATCGGCTTATCGTGGCTTATCATCGGCTTATCCTAGCTTGTGGCTTATCCTGGCTTATCCTTGGCTTGTCCTGGCTTATCCTGGGCTATCCAGAAGAGCTTATTGGGGGCTGATTGTGGCCTTTTTCAGGTTATATCCTGTGGCTACTAAGTGACCAATAAGACATTGCCTCGCACGGTCAGCCAAATGAATGCTCGCTAAGGCACTGGTACAGGCTTAAAAGGAGCAGGCTTCGTTGACATGGTTGGTCCAGCGCTTGACACGTTAAAAGAGAAAGGCGCTATGCTAATCCGAGGTCAGACCCAAGCTGTGTGTTGGAAATTCCCTTGATCCTACAGGCCTGCGCAGGACTGTCTGCGGAGAAAACACATTGGAAATGGCACAAAGCTTTATACGCGCACACATTTTTTAACAACACGCTTCCGGCATTCAATCTTCTAAAATCTGCCATTGCGAGGTGGCACGGTCGCCTGATTCTTGATATTGGCACATGAAAGCTGAATACGCGGTCAGGTCAGGCAGCAAATGGCCTTTTCCAAATATTCCTTGTCCAACCCCTTATTATTCTGCCCTCACCCTCCAAAGTATGACAGTGTGTCAAGAAGTAGCATCTCAAGAGTTGCCTCCAACTGTCTTGGGCAAGCCGCCAGCCCAGTCCGGCCCAGCCACCCAGTCACCCAACCCTCGGCGCCCGTGAGCCCAGGTGCGAAATTCACAAAAGCCAAGCCCACGTTGCGGTGCTTGCGTTTATCCTGGCCGAGCTCCACTGGACAAAAACCAAGCGGCAAGGCGGCAGCGGAACGGGGAAATCAGAGGAAAACGGAAGAAGAAGAAGAAGAAGAAGTAGAACAAACATAACATCATCATTTAACCCCTAGTAATAAAAGGCACCAAGGCGCCGTCCAGCCTTCTCCTTCCAAGCTAAAAGGGGGTCTGCGGCGCCCCAAGAACACATGCGGGTTAAGAGAAGTGCACCTCTTCATGCAGTGCCAAACAGAAAAACAGGCTCATGGGAACAACACCAAAGCAAACATCCGCGGACTCTACAAGGAAGACTGTCGGCTCCTGCGGAAGATAAACGAAGTCGTACAAGTCACGGGCGTTTTCGTCCAACGCACTCCTTGGCAAAGCCGGACTTGGCAACAAAAAAACACCGCATCAAAAACTGAAAAGCCTCAACCCAAGGAAACGGCCAACAACATGTCCCTACCAAATGCGTGTCCTCTCCATCCCAACATGACTTGAAGCCTGCTAATATCTCGTGATCAGATACTTCTTTACTGGCAGGGAGCCCAAACCTGCACCCCCGAAAGAGATAGAAGCTTGCATAAGCCATAGCATATTCTCTCTTTCATTTCTTTACAGAGCATAGAGCGCCTGAAGTTGGCACAGCGTGAGAAAGCAACTTGTCTGTGGGAAGATGTCTTTTGAATAACCTGTGCTCCTGTGAACAAACTGCGCGCTGCTCGCCTTGCAGGGCAACTGATTGACAAGTGTCCTGGGTATGGCAGACGGACGGGCGGACGGACGGACGGACAGACCGAGAGGCAGGCAGGCAGTCAGACAGACAGACGGCCGGACGGAAACAAGGAAACCAAGAAAGATAGAAAAGGAAGGGAGGAAAGAGACAAAGATAAAAAAGGGACAATATAAAGAAGAAGAACAAAAAGGCACACATATTGTCTGAAGGCAAAAGGGAGAAACAGAAAAAGCGAGAAAGACAGAAGCAAAGAAAAGGGAAAGCAAAGAAAACAGAAAGTGCTAGCAAGCGAAGCAAGCAAAGCAAAGCAAAGCAAACCAAGGCAAAGCAAGCCAGCAAGCAAGCGCACAAGCACAGCAACGATGACGCACATATGCCAACACACAAGCACAGAAACACAACGCAAAGCAAGACTAGTTCTTGTCTTTGAGGACAGGGCACAAGAGCTTGGCAACAGTGACTCGGGGAGAGAGACGCGAGAGCATGACCGCCGTCACGCCAGTCTCGAGAGCGATCTCCTCCGGCAATCAAAGGCACGCAACATCAATCAGTCTCAACACTTGAAGGCCAAAGCTGTAGACACCCGAGCGTCTCTTTCACTCCGAACATAACTCCGTGTATGGTCGTAGCTCCCTTACCCTGTCATGTTGGGTAACTAGAGCCTCATACTTTGGGGCTGCCTCTATCACACAATTGGCAACTACCCAAATAGGAGGTATATGTTCCCAAAATCGATAAATGCTTCCCACACAATTGGGAAGCATGCTCTTCAAACATGAGCTTCCAAATTTGAGGTCCGGCAAGTGTTGCTCAAATTTAGCGGCTGCCAAACCGACCCAAACACCTTCAAAAAAGGCATGCCAATCGTTGATAGAGGCAAGGGCTCACACACAATGACTGTCAGAATTCCTAGACTGTTGCAAACCCTAGAGGCCTCCGTCTCGCAGCCACGTAGAACACACGACACTGCTGAAGATGAAGCTGGCTGCTCACTGAGGCCAAGCCCTCAAAGGATGCTTCACAATCGGCTGCGTGGCCGCTACCAATCATAGCAATGTAGATGTTGTATGGGTGGCAAAGTACATTGACTTAAAAACAATCATCCGGAGGTTTATACTGGTATAGATGATGTAGGAGTTAAATATACAGCAATCTATTCTAGTCTGGCAAAACAAAAGAAGAACATAGCTCTTATGAAGAACCAGGTAAAATGCAAGCATATGCTGTATAAGTCAAACAAATATGCTCCAACAAACATTGGAACATTACGTTACAAGTTTCAAGCATATGAGATACCTAATAGTATGTGGTTTTATCAATGTCCAAAACCACCAATGCCAAATAGGTATGAAAAGCTAGATGATTCCAAAACAAGAAAAGACTGCTATTTTTGCTACAATTGTTGTAAAGACGCCTATACAGACACAAATACTAGAGATAACTTAAGTGATACCATTGATGCATTGGTTCATTATGTACTTAATAAAATATACGTGTATGTTACAATAATTGTATGATGAAAGATAATAATCATGTTTTCAAAAAATGAAGCAACAATTAAAAGATGAATCACGATGCAAATAACCATAAAATGAAGCATAGATACAACAAGTCAATCTATTAAAAACTTGAATAACGATTAACTTTAGGCACGGTTAATGGATAAAGTAATATTAAATAGGACAAAGACTTGATAAGATTGAATTCATTGAAGAAAAACAAATCATCTATTGTCGGTATAGGTGAAAAGTAGCCGAAAGTTTTATCACAAAGGAACAACATCTATAAAATATGTACAAACAACAATGAAAACTTGTGAAATGGAAGAAGATTACAAAATAACTGAATATATCACAATTTGTTGGTAACAGTCCTAAAAAAAAGAAGAAGAAAAAAACAAGAAAAAAAACCTTGTTAAAGCAATGAATAATCACTTAAATGATGATAATTGTGTTCTAGAAATATGTGGCTCGTATAGAAGACAAACATATTGTTCAGGTGCTATAGATGTATTTGTAAGATATAATATAACATCTAATGTTTCTATATTATTAATTAATGCAATTCTTAATAACACACATCTTGAAAACAAAGGCTCTTTTATTTTTGTTCACTGCTCACTTGTGCCGCTACCAGTCAACAAACTCAGGTGTCCCTTGCCTGATGTGGCGGATGGTATTCTCAGGAAGTGTCGGAAACACCATGTTAATCTCGCGGGAATGGTATCCCGCAGAAAGAGAGGCGAGTATTGCATCCCAGAAACACTCTGCTTACAAGACGCCCTAAGAATCTGAATGCTTCATCCGCCATGCTGATGTTGGTCTCACCAATGTATTGCGCATGTTTGCCATGAAGGTTCTGGCCAACTGCCTGCCTGGACACGTTTTAGTCAAGGATCGAAGACAACTTCCTAGCGCGCTAGCATGTCTGTTCAGTGGTTCGTGCTTGGGAACAGCAACAGGCCAGAGTTCCTTTTTTTTATTCGGCTGCTTTCTCGGCTCTGTGAAGTCAATCAGGTTCGTTTCCAAGTGACTGAGACAAGAGCCCCAGGCATCAGGCACCGATGAGTTTCTACCGAACTGCCATAAAGAGGATCCCTATTTTGACACATCCCCCGTCTTTGGTGTAACGCTGATGCCAGCAGAACATCGGAATGTGAATCCTGCCATTTGCTCCCTTTTTTAAAAGCCACGCGTGAGGAATACAAACTCAGAAAGTACCACGCTGCTCTTTGCAATTTCACCCAAACTCAGTGGGGCGAGTCTTGAACATATTGTGTGCATATCCATGCATGCATTGTATGTATATGTCTAGGGGGTGCTGACGTTTGGTGCCACTGGCTTGCTCTGCCGGGACCCCACCCATCCTTGAGCTCGGAAGTTTGAGTTCCGGCTGGCATCTTAGGCAAACCTGGCGAGATCGCAGCAAAAAAAACTGTGTGTGGTTTGGAGCATCCAAAACCAAACGCTGGAAAATAGAAGTGGAGGAACCAAACGAGCCCGGAAGTCAGCCGGAACAAAGGGATCCATTGCCAAAAGGGTGGCCAGTTCGGACGATGGGGTTCTTACCTGTACAAAAGGGGTGCCAAATGGAGCAATATCGATCAACCTCCCTTCTGATGGTGTCTCTGGCCCGCTGCGAAAACATATTTCATCTTGCCAAAGCAGAATTGGAGTCTCAATAATCACGAATCCCTCACTAACCTTGATGTAAGAAAGCACTGGATTTGAACTCTGGTTTTCGGGTGCGTATTTTGGGCATGATTTGCTTTTTTTCTTGGCGGCCCTTTGACAAACAGCATGCACATTGGGGAGTTGTCCAAAGGCCAATTTCGAGGAGGTTCCCGTGAATCGGTTCCCAAAATTTGAAGGCCCCATCCGCCATCACACCCTCCAGGATGGAAGACCAATGAGAATCGCATCGCAGCTGAACAAGTCCCTAGGGAATGTTTGAAGGGTGCTGGCACAGATCAGTTTACAGAAACGCAGTCCATTCCTCAAATCTATGTTGAGACCCGTTGTAGGTTTGCTCCGAAAATGTTGCTTGGGATCTTGAAGAGGTCATCAACAACTCTCCAACAAGTACAGCGAGGTCCTTGACTGGAACCAACTAGAGAGGTATGCAACGGTCTGCTTGCCACTCCGTGTTTGGCACTTACCTGCATCATGTTGAGCCCCCCCTTTCCCGGGTCCCAGCCTCTACAAAGTCAGCCACCAGCGAACGACCACACGAAGTCGGGACTTGTGTCAAATCTCTGAAACCTCGCCCGTCTGAGCTCACAGCACTGCAGAAGGCGGCGAAGATGAAAGGGGTCGCGCAGGAAGCCAACTAACGCTGAAAAAGAAGCATCTAAACAAGCCGAAACAAGGGTATGAACTTTTTGAGGGGACACCCTCCAAGCTGGTCGGTGGACACAAATTCCTGCAACTGATATCCACCAAAAGGTCGCCAGTTGCAAATCATATCCATTTGGAAACAGCTGGGTGGAAGAATGGTTGACCAAAGGGGCATCAGAAGTATCGGGTAATCATACTATTGACGCAGTACAAGCTCTTGTCAGCTGTCTTCTGCTCCAATAGCTCTTACACGTCACCTTGGAGACCCCACCATAAACAGAGCACGAGTTGGAAGTACACCAAACATGTAACATCCCTTGCCACCAGTAGCCAGGCTGCGCTTCTCAAAGGGGAAGCTGCCTTTGATGGTTCTGAATGGACGGGAGGCTCGGCAGATTGTGCTCATTACATGTTTATATATATATATATATAGATATAGATATATACATAACGAGAAAACAAACAATAAATAAGCAAGTGCCATGTATTCGGTCATTGTCCTTCAAGCCTGGTAATATCCCATGTTGGTTGAAAACACCAAACAGAGTTTGCTGTAGTTCCCCGTACCAATTGTCGATACAGGAATGCTGCAAAATGGGCAAACACATGATGGCCTGTCAGTCTAAGACAAAAACGGCTTTAGAAAGTGGAACACGACAACAGCTTTGAGAGGGTAATGAAAGAGTACAGCAGGTAACATGGAAAATGGAAAGCTTGGTGTCTCAACATCGACCCCTTGGATTTGCTTTCGGATGCCCAAAGCACTGCGCATCCCTCGGCTGTGCCCAATCTGCCAAGATGCTGAGCCTAGCGAGTCCAGGGCATGTCGCATTGCCTGAAAGTCGGGTGGGCGATGCAGAAATCTGGGGGAGACGAACCCAGCCCTTGGCTGATCACAGTCTGGAACGTGAAGAAACCACAGTACCACAGGGCCGTGCCAGCCCATACCAGAACAAAACGAAAATAAGCAGCAACAATGGATGGGTCCCTGGCAAAGGACTTGGGAGCATGGGAGAATTGTCATGTACACACATGTACCCACGTCGTACCCACGTCGTACCAACGGACTGAGCAAAGTTCCACACGCACACAAAAAACAAACACAGACACACACAGACACACACACACACACACAGACACACACAGACACACACAGACACACACAGGCACACACAGACACACAGAGACGCACAGAGACACACAGAGACACACAGAGACACACAGAGACACACAAACAACACAAACACACACACACACACACACACACACACTCTCTCTCTCTCTCTTAAATCCCACGAGGGGCAAACACGAAGTTCGAGTAAATCGAGCAAGAAGGGGAGGGGCAGATTCGGGACAAACTGACGTGCGTTCTGAAGCAAAAGCGGAAACGCCACACAACTAGAGCCATTGGTCTTGACGAAGCAACAGGAAACACATCACACCGCGAGGCTCTCTGCAGGTACGAGATGCCGCGTCCAGCGGCTCATCCACCCGATTTCCGTAGCTTCGTTGGCACGGCTTGGAAATCAGGCGCCGTGACCCCTGCTTGAACAGAAAGGTGGTCTCAGGGTAAATCTGGGACTCAGCACACACACACACACACACACACGCGCGCCATCAACCGACTCCTTAGCTCAGCAGAATGACAAAGCAGCCGCGGCTGTGCAGCCCCAGGACATCCGTTTGTGAGCACTCAAAAAGACAGCAACTGGTAACCCCGTGGGTTTGCAGCAGGCCCCGCCTGCGCGTGACCGCCTCCGCCTTCCCCTGGCAAGCAATCCCCTCGAACATGATGGTTGTCGTTCAACTTGGGGCTCCAGCGAGGCCGCCTGATATTCTCAAAATGATCCCTAGCTACCCTAGCTCCCCGGAGCCAGGCAGCCCGCACCTAAACAATACGAACTGCAAGGCGATCTGGACTGCCCAATTGTCACACCAAGAGCAGTCGACCCAAAGGCCCCCCGAATGGCAGAAACTGCGGCACTTTCCCAGATAATCTTCCTTCCACTTGGAAAACACCCGAGTTCCACCACGGGAGGGGGTCATGTTCCCAGAGATGCCCACTAAGTTTGACACACTGCATATTGGCTGCAAACCGCAAATTGCAACAAGTGCTCGAAGTGAACCCGACTCGCGTTGCGGAAAAAAAAAAGAGCGGCTTCTCGAGAAAACCGCAAGCTCAGATCGGAAGGACGACGCTCCCGGCCAAAACAACGAGGCTCTCGGGGCCCTGCCTGGCCGGGCCTCAGCTCACTTCTGGCGCACTCGGTCTGATTCAACGGGGAAGCAGATGGCTCCGGACCTTTCAAAAGGCAAAGAGAGTTCTTCAGCTTCTCCACAAGCGGGGCTTGTGGAAGACAAAATGTACATGAGCGGAAAGCTGGTTCTTGAATGGGGACAGCATTATCGCATGGATCCTGACCTGTTAGATTTCGGCATTCCGGCGTCGCATGTGGAAATGCAAAGACGCGTGCACAATGTCTGAGATGTCGTGTCGGTAGCGGCTTGCAAGCGGACTGCCTTGCAATCAGCCCTTCACCAAGTTGTCTTCAGTCACTGGTACCGCACCAGAAATCACCAAACAAGTCCAAGAAGCCCTAAGAGCCGCCTACCCTTTTGGCTGAGCTCGCCACCCCGCCATAGCCTGGCGAGTCTCGAGATGAGCCTGTCATAGGGTTCCTCTGTGCTTAAAGTCTTGGAAGGTCTGGTGACATCACCCGAAGCGACTCGGACAAGAGTGGGCCAACACAAAACCGCCCTGAAGGGGGGTCACGTGTTTCAACACTCTAACTCGAAGAAACCCCGAGCCCATCCGCTGGGCCTTGGGCCCTAGGCCATGAGACGCAGAGTTCTAAGCTTGGGAATCCGGGAAAAGCTGAGAACACAGAGCGAGTTTGCCCGAACATTACGTGATGTTTGCCGGAAGCGCCAAGGGCAAGGATTACACACACGCCGCAAGGTCTCACCGGTCCTGCCTTGCGCTGGCATCCTCAGAGAGCAACCAAAGCGTGCACATAGCAAAGAAAAATGCAAAGATCACGGGACAGGAACCACCACTTCCTCGCCCCTCTTTCTATTCTAAAGGCACCCCTTCACTCCAAAGCCCAAAGCAACAACCGCCTCCACGTACAAGGCTTTCCGGAGCATACAACAAACTGCCTTGGTCGCTTCATGGTTCATAAGTTTGCTTTCTCGGAATCAAACCGCCAACACACTCTTGAAACGACTTGCTATCCTGAGTCTTAGAAAGATCACTGGAAGCAAAGATGACCTGCCAAAGAAAGATGTCCTGCATCGGCGATTGCTTGCAGGAAAAAGACATCGCAGGAAGTCGTGGTCCCAAGAGTCTACCATCTCCCCCGGACTCAGATTGCAAGTCCGAAAGAAAAAATCACTTTGATGAAAATGTCTTCGCAGGGAAGTGGCATCTTCAGTGGTGGCCCTGACCGCCCAACCGGGGCTCCGAGCCCAGTGCAGCCTGCGACGAGGCGAAAAGGAAAAAAAACAGAGGAATGCGCGACCGGCAAACGAATGCGACACTGTACACTTCCTGGAAGCGACCTGAGAAACCAAAGACACTGTGCTGAGACAGGCCGCGGCCCGCGGTTGCATTGGGGCACAACAAAACGTGATACGAGCAGTCAATACCAGTACATATGGCTTCTTGTTCAGACTCCGCAGCAAAGTTGCTGATACCTAAAAGCCCAAGGCCTTGGCAATGAAACAGGATGGCTTACTACCAGGCTTACACCCGCCAGGATGGCAAGTGCAAAAGCAGCTCCACTTTGCATTGGCCTGCAACATGACAGTCCGTGCTACATGTGCACACAAACCCGCAAGGAACAACAATGTCACAACTTTGGAACTATTGCAAGGGCTTGACCGCATGAATATTCGTCGATTCTTCCATCCCGCCATGCTTCACGCGCCTCCACAGCCGCAGCCGCAACCGCCGCAGCCATAGCCGCCGCAGCCGCCGCAGCCGCCACAGCCGCAGCCACAGTTGCCACCGCAGCAGCCGCCACACCCGCAGCCACAGTTGCCACCGCAGCCGCCACAGCCTCCGCAACCACAGCCACAGCCGCAGTTGCCACCGCAGCCGCCACAACCACAACCGCAGCTGCCACAGCCGCCACAACCGCAGCCACCACAGCCACCACAGCCTCCACAGCCTCCACAGCCTCCACAACCACGGCCTCCGCAACCGCAGCCGCCGCAGCCACCGCCACAGCCACCACAACCGCTAAAATTTCCGAAGCCACTGCAGCTGCCGCAACTACCGCCGGACCCACTGCAACCACCGCATCCGCTGCAGCCGCTGCAACCGCAGCTCCCACCTCCACATGCACCGCAGTTGCCGCAGCCGGTGCTGTAGTTGCCACAATTGCTGCAGCCGCTTCCACCACAGCCAGAGCAACCCCCACAACCGCAGCCACCGCATCCGCCGCATCCGCCGCACCCGCCACAGCCTCCCAATCCGCAGCATCCCCCACAGCCGCTGCAGCCACCGCAGCCACCACAACCGCCACAACCTCCACAGCCACCGCAACCTCCACAACCTGTCGCAAATTGAAAACTGGTCTGCAGGCACAAAGCAAGACCAGTCAAAACAGCCTTTGAAACCGAACTCCTTCGTATGTTTTCCCATTTGGATCCATGCTGCTGTCCCTGGCACAAAGGCAAACCTCTGACCGCAAACCTCCATTGGTGCTCCATCCTGGGCCTTTCTTAGCCGTTCGTAAGCTACAAAAAAAACGGGCATCTCGACAAATCGCAAAACTTGGATACCTCGCGAAAGTGGAGAAAAGACGCGAGAAGATCAGCTTGGAATTGAAACGGAAGGAAAGAATCATTCTGGCTGGCTCAGCCGGCCTTCAAAGAACCCTTCCCCTTCCCTCCCCTCTCCGAAGCCTTGGCGATCCGGCGCATACAAAGACGCCAGGCCTGTGTTGGAAGGATGAAGCAAAAGGCAGCATGAAACCAACCATTTGGAGAATAACCCCGGGATTTTCCAGAAGAGTTGCAGAATTCAAAGTGTGGAAACAGGCAAGTGTTCCACAATTTGTCTCGGAGGGGTTCCAGCACACAGTGCAAAAGCTATTTGCAGTCAGAGTCAGTAACTTAGTGTCAAAGAGGATGCCATGATGTTCGAGGGGCGCAAAACACGCTTGTTCCAAAGACCTGCAGCTTGACCAACCAACCGCTCTTGCGCTGAGTATCTCCCTAAGGCACTGGCTGCTTTTCATGTGGTCCAGCTTCTGGCTGTTCACATCCTGCTCGCTGCTTCAGGCTCTGACTGGAGCCCTCTGACCCCACCCTCACTCACCCACTCACTCGCCCGTCCGCCGCTGTTCTCCTGCCCTGCCGCCCCGACCTTTCCCTCCTCTCTCTCTCTCTCTCTCTCTCTCTCTCTCTCTCTCTCTCTCTCTCTCTCTTTCTCTTGTTATTCAAACAAACTGAATGGATTCTGTGTCTGCTTCAGCCATCTTGGGCTACGGCCGAAAAGTTGTTCGAGCCGGTCCCTCTGCCCCCCAAATATCCCAACTCTCGACCCTTGCGCCTGTGGCTGCCTCGATGCGTTCGATCAAAATCAGGCTGGCTTGGATTGGTTGGCTTGATTGAGAACCGGCCCGACCAAGAACGAAAGTTGGTTCAAACTCCCAAACTACCAATCCAAGACGCCAAATAAGGCTACATGACCACCAGTTCATAGATTGAAGAAAACAAATGAATCCGATGAAAAAACAACCAGTTGTGGTCGTCATGCTCTTCATTCTGAGACGCTCCACATAAAACCAAAGTGAAAACCGAGGGGAGTCCGCTAGCAGAAAGCAAACGAAATCAACACAACCCAGTATAGCGAGTGCAATGCTGTCCCTGCAGGCTGCAAGCAAGTACTGAGACGGGTTGATGTCAGAATAGGGGGACCTAAAATGGGTGGTATCCTTTCGGTTGCCCTCTAAATCAACCTAAGAGCGGGTACCCTCAAACAAAAAAACACGTGGACTTGTCCAGACTGAGTCAAGCAGTGAAGTGAGACGGGCAACAAAAGGGCCGCTATCGTGCTGTGGCAAAGGCTTTGGCTAGGTGCAGGCAACAGGTCGTTGGCTGTATTTAGCCTTTCCTCAAGTCAATTCGCTTGTGGACAAGATGGGGTGGCTTCACAAGCCACAAAGTCAATACCTCCCAAGAGCCCAACAATCCCACTGAGCCCTGTGCTGCTGCTGCATCTGCATCTGCTGCTGCTGCTGCTGCTGCTGCTGCTGCTGCTGCTGCATCTGCTGCTGCATCTGCTGCTGCTGCATCTGCTGCATCTGCTGCTGCTGCATCTGCTGCTGCTGCATCTGCTGCTGCTGCATCTGCTGCTGCTGGTGCTGCATCTGCTGCTGCTGCTGCTGGTGCTGCTGAGGCTGCTGAGGCTGCTGGTGCTGCTGAGGCTGCTGGTGTGTGTGCGGCATCTGATGCCCTTGCTGCGGCCTCAGCATTTCAGATCAAGACAAGGCGACGTCAAGAGTCAGCCAACTTGTGATCTTGAGCAAATCAGAAGACTGTTCGAAAGGACAGGTGACCTGCCCAAGTGGAAGCTGGACATAACAGTCTTGCGTGCACAAACCATGGGAACCAGAAGAGTATAGGATGAGCTCATGTGAGTAGCCATGTGTGTGTATATATGAGAGCATGCCAAACTAGGAGATGCAAGTCCATGATGACATACATGCTATTATGTTTTTCATCGGGATAATTAAGGACTCGTGCCCTGCCAATGTGAAAACAACATTGTGTCACACCGTGGAAATTTCCCCAACAACACTTGAGTGTGACCGTGGCATCGTCGGCCCCTGGATCCACCTGTGAGGGCCTAGGCGTTCCAAGGTCCAATGAAGTCGTTGCAAGTGACCATGCTGCACCACGAGATCACCCTGGAAGGCCATCTTTGCATCAAAAGCAGCAGTGTCGTGTACCTTAATCCAAGCGAATGGTTTCACGGGTCGCATAAGCCAGTGGCAACATTTCCCCAAGGGTTTCATGAGACACTTGAGTAGGCCCCGATGTCCTTCCCAAGTCGATGATAGATTGCTCAGCATGCTGTGGTGTGCTCGCATGTGTTCACGTTTTGCCACAAAGTCTGCCCTGGCAACCCAGTACCGACTACACTGGGCGCGCTGCTGAAAGAGATCTGTCAGGCCTGACGCATCCCAGCAAAGAACGTGTCACGGGGATTGCCTGTCTATGTGCGTTTCTTCGCGCCATCGATGTTCAAGCTTGGCTTTTGTGAAGCCTGTGCCTTCTTGCTTGTGCGGGAGGTTCGATAGCGATTCGTGGATTCCGAACCTTAGGCTGAGCTTAGGTAGGCCTGGGCGTCATCCTCTTGGCTACAGCAAATTTGTTCAGGGACCGAGGAACAAAGCTTTGGCTGCCTTGCACTCTCACGTGTTCAGCCGAAAGCGACAAGATCTGGTCACTTTCAAGCAATAGCTTTGCCTTCAGCCAAATTTGATGGAGCTGTCACTGTGAGTGGGAAGAGCCAATGCTAAACAACTTTGAACCTGAATGCAAGCTCAAGTCTGACGCCAGACTCATCTGACCTGAGCCCAGCTGCCTGAGTCATCTTTCGGCGACAGAGGACACCACCAAAAAGGTTCGCATTGCCCACTGGGGACTTGCAAGCCGACTAGAAAACACACACACACACACACATGCTAACCTCTTCATGACCGCAAACCGAAACTGATGAAAAGACCTGCCAATTTCTCCGCCGACCAAGTAAAAACTAAAGCGGAGAAGCTAACCGCCTTCTTCTGAGTGTATACCCATAAGAACCAAATGCAACTTCGTCCATCACCCTACACTGAGCCTGCCCTTGTCGGGTTTCTCCTCGATTTCCCCCTCGACTGAAAAACAACTCGAGGGCCCAGGAGAAGCCAAAGGCAACTCGTGCAGGTCTCAGCCCAATTGGGGTCGAGTTTGGCTGCGCCTCGGGTTAAGTACAGCATTGAGTTTGGTCTGGTCGAAATAGATGGCCCATTCCCCGCTTCCGTTGCCTCTATCGCCATTGTAGGTCTGCGCCTGAGGAGAACGTCTTACACAATCTCAATATTCGAGCAAAACATGTCCTTCACCGCCTAATTCCAAGACGGATTCTTCACATCGTAGAAAAACATCATATGAAATTGAAATGGTGTGGCCATACTGAGCACGTGCCTTTCCGCGAACGAAATGAAAGAACATGTGCAAGAGATTCAGATCTCATGACAATTCAATTGGAGTCGTTGTTTAAATGATGTCCCCGCGAACTGGCCCTTGCTGCAAAGCAATGATTGAACAGCTTCCAACGTCGAATGGAAGCTGCTTTTGAAACCACAAGTCCAAGTCAAAGCAAAGGTCAGCTCCGCTCATCTGGTGAACAGCCCAAGGCCGCGAGCGGATCCATTCAAAACCGGCTTGCCCCAACCATAGCGCCGAAATTCGGCCTTTGCCTTCGTGACCATGTTTCCCCTCGACTGGGATTTGGGGTCAAGTGCTTGACATACTCACACAGGTCTTTCAGAAGAACCGACCAACGGGGCCGATGTCCCATCCCGAACGCCTGAGATCCACCGGAGGGCCTGAGAGAGTTCGGGTCCCCACATTTGGAAAGAGCATCCGAGCCTTTGATGAGACTCTGGCCGTGTTTACCTCAAGTCTCACTATGCCTGAGACCTGAAAGGCATGCTACATGCTCAAAGCATGAGTTTTCCAGAGGGAGTCCAACCAGAGCTTTGCATTGGTGAGCTCGCACTGTAAGAAAATGAGGAGACGTTGGCAAGGGTGTCACCCTTGGTGTCGGTGACGTGCATGAAGGGAATTGTGGCATGCTTCAGAAGAACAGCGTGATGAAACACCTTAAGAAATTGTCAGAAATTGATTTGTATCGAGAATCTAGACAACTTCAAACATCTGCTGTTGTTCGCACAAATCGATATCAATAAATATTAAATTATGCACTCGTGAAAAGGCTATTTGCCGACTTGATGCGGTTGGGCCAAAGTCAAAAATAAATTGTGCCTGTTAACAATATCAAATGCAAAAAAATAATCACATACCATACTCAATGTTGCTTCCAAAGCACCGTGTGCAAAACGGGCTTCGCACCTTGCCAATCACAAGAAGGGTGACGTCATGCCAGGACGAGTGCAGTTGTCCAACCCAGTCAAAGTACCAATTTTGGGGCAAGCTTCCACCGCGAAACATAAGTTCCTTGAAGCACAGGACAGCTGATCAATAGCCCACTTTGCTTTACCCGCTTGACTGCGAGCAAGCTCTTGTTCGAATCGTTGCTGCCTCTACAATCTTGAACACAAACGATGATAAGCACCCTGACAGAGCGAGCGAGACAGCGAGAGAGCGAGAGAGACAGAAGAGAAGAAAGATAAGAAACATAAGAAACATAAGAAAGACAAGAAGAAAAAAGAAGCAAACAAACAAACAAACAAACAAACAAAGAAAGAAAGAAAGAAAGAAAGAAAGAAAGAAAGAAAGAATAAAAGAAAGCAAGAAACAAAAAGAAAGAAAGAAAGAAAGAACGAAAGAAAGAATGAATGCATGAATGAATGAATGAATGAATGATTGAATGATTGAATGAATGAATGAATGAACGAATGAACGAATGAACGAACGAATGAACGAATGAAATAACGAACGAACGAACGAACGAACGAACGAACGAACAAACGAACGAACGAACGAACGAACGAACGAACGAACGAACGAACGAATGAATGAATGAATGAATGAATGAATGAATGAATTAAATGAGGCAAAAAAGAAGAAGAAAAAATAGAGAGAGAAGAAAAAAGAGTAAAGACAAGGAACAACTAGATGGCACTGGTAAATGATTGCTGTTGAAGCCGGCTGAAGCTGAAACCAGCCCCCTCCATTGGCAATCCAACTGACATAACAGGACAGCCTCGCCGGAAGACCAGCCAGTTAAGCCGAGGAGCGCAGGAGCCGAGCTGAACCTCAGTTTCGTGCCAAGCCGCCAGAGCGTGTTCTTGCCTAAGAAGCCTTGATCAAACGCGTGGATTCAGGAGAATCTCTCTCTCTCCCTCTCTCTCAGAACTGAGTGATACAAGCCAATAATCTCCTGTCAGCCCACCCTTGGACGCGGTCGAAACAGAGGCAGTGAAAACTGGCTTCCTTGAAACAGTCCCAAAGCAAACATCTTTGGCAGATTGTGTTCGCCAAATGTGAGGCCACTGCAAAGCGACTCGCCCAGAAAACCTGTACGAGGCCCACTCCATACAAGATTGCCACTTCCAAGATGTGCGGAACCTCTGGCTCAAACAGACATTTGTGAAGCGACCCTTCACCACGCGTGTCAAAGTACGTCTGTCAATGTCCGCCTCCTCTGCGTTCCGCTTCCCATAGGTGAAGAGTCTCAAGAGCCATCGGCTGGTGCCGCGTCTTCAGGTCTCTGGGCTGCCCCACTCAGCCCAGCCGCTCTCCGCTTTCGCGGGTGCGGGTGGCGCTGGTGCCTGGGGTGCAAAAGATTGGGAACGAAATGGTGGACATCTTTATGTCCACCAACCATTAAAGAAAGGTTCTGCAGCAATATACATATGTAACATGTATATATTCTATCAAATGTTCGGGGGGCTGGTTGCTTGCAATTAGCGCAAAACGAGCGGACGGCAGCTGGCAAGGCAATGATTGCAAGCGCAATATCATCAAACAGTCCCAAGCAAGGATTGAACCTGGCCCAAGCTAGGCCTGAGCAATGCCACAAATACATGGATCCAGCGAGCGGTTGTTCGAGTTGAAGCGGTCCGGTGGGCATCTGTCGTCCTTTACCTCTTCTCTCCGATTGATACCTGGCAAAGATCGCCCACAAAATGGCGCAGGGATCTCTGCCTTGTCGCAAACAGTCAATCTACATTCAGCTCTTCGAAAACATTCTGTGGGCCAGCTCTCAAAAGTGACCGCTTTTCCCTGGGAGTGGTTTGCCAAAATCTGCGGTTTCTTGTGTTTATCCGCAAGAGCGCACGGAGCTCATACTTTCGCTCTACGTCTAACACGGAATGCACGCATGGGCCTCCGTGTGGGTACCAAGGCTTTGAACCCAAGAACCAAACTTGGCAAGAAACTAGTTGGGTCTTGCAGGGATGGAATTTTAATGCTCAGGTCGGTGTCCTTCAAAACGAACATTGGTTCATCTTCCGTTTGCCTGGATCGATGTTGCCTCGCAAATCATCGGAAAGGGCATCTAAGACACTGAATGCGTGTGCTTGTGTGTGTGCGTGTGTGCGTGTGCGTGTCTTCGAGTGCATGAAGTCAAGTTCCATCTTCTCCTGGGGGCGATTGGCCCTCCGCTTCCTTGGGCACCCGAACTGACTCGAAGCTGCCCAGAAGGTCCACCGAGGCCTGGCAGTCTCAAGCCAGACAGAAACCCAAGATTGCTAAGGAGCCAAACAAACATGCCTGAAAAGGCCAAGACGAAAGCATGGGGCTGAAATACAAACGCTGTGAAGCCTTTGTACCCTTGTACCTAGTATTGGTTAGTATCGTTCTTTCCTCGGCGTTGGCTTACAATGTTTTGGGGGCTACGAGTTACCAAGTGAATTTTAAGTCGTCGGAACACGCATAGGAAAGGTAGGAAGTAGGTAGCGCCGTATGGGTTTGTTTCGCATGTTTCCAAAGCAAGATATCAAACCAAAAGCACGGTGCATCGACTTGTATCGGATTGAATATCGGTTCGGGGCCTCTCAGTTTCCTCTCCGGACTTCAGTTTAGCAGTTGCCTCGTATAGCTTCTCAACAACGGGTGCAGCTCACAAGAACCGAGACGATTCGAAAAAGTGGTGTGTTCCTGGCTTCTGGCGGCACCACTTTTTTTGCATCACCATCCGTTTGCAATGGTTTGGGCGCAACACAAGTTACGGTAGAGCCGCTTGCACATAAAAGAGACTTCCCATGTCCTGGATCCCGACCCCGAGTGGATAACAGCATGGAAACACTGTGGCCTGACATATGTTGGTACAGAAGTGACATACGACTTTTGTGTCAATTGCCTCCGGGGCATATATATTTCTTCAACACATCCACGCACCAAAAACCCAAGCCTCAACAATGCAGGGAGATGCAGAAAAGCACATGGACAGCGGCTGTAGGCGATCGCGATCATCCCCAAACTTAAACATCGCTGGTCCGAACAGTAGTGCTTTCTGCCCTTGCTGGCCCAAAATGCGCAATGAGGTCTTGCCCCAATCTGCATGCTTTCACACTGGCTGCACCAAATCAATCATTCCTGTCTCAACCCCCCGCACTTCATCGTTTCCATGCCTCCGGCGCGCGCTGCGGCGCTGCCTGTCTCCCAAAAAAGAAACTGCTCACCTACGTAGGACCTACTAGAATGGCTTGACTTGCAGTCAGATCAAAGGACGATTCGAGGCTGGGCAAACTGCGGCCTGAAGGAAGGGAGAACATGGCCTCCCAACGCAAGTACCTCGGTTCTCCAGCCTTTGCAGGTCGCGGGCGAGCCTGGCCATCGCTGGACTGGTGAGAGATAAGGAGGGGACAATCTAAGTAATTACACGGCCTTCTTCAAAATAGGCCTTGCGGGATTGTCTTAAATGCTTTGAACTTGACTCAAGGACTGGGGTTCTCTCGCCCGTGGTGAAGAAGCACCAACTGGCTGCCAACCAAGATTACACGTATCTGATGCAATACACGTTCGCCATCACAACAGGCTGTCTTTTCTGTGATTTGCAAGTTTCTCAAGGACTTCACGTAGCTTGGTTCATGACTGAATTAAACATGAGCTGTGCGCTGGAAATCAAGATGAAAGCACACTTTTGTGTCAACTAGACAGCAACAGGCGCGGGCAATAATGACGCTGACATGTTTTGCATTGAGAAGGTTGTGGTCAGTGACTAGAGCATGGCGCGCACTCCGCCGCCCTAAGCTGTCCCCGCCTCAGGGCTTGGGGTTCGCCGCCGGTCCCGGCGGTCGCGGTCACCTTGGCGGAGGCCCAGAGTTCTCAACTGGACCGAATGCCCTGTCCTTGGAGGCACATGCACAACAAGGGTGTTCGTTGAGGCCTGCGCAAATCTGGAGGCAAAGAATGCAGCCCCAAACACTCGTTTGACAAACGTAACCACTTGATGACATCCTTGACCTTCCATTGATGCCTTTATTTGCACTCACATTCTTTCCTGCTAAAATACACAATACGTGTCCAATTTCTTGCATTTCTGGCCCGAGCAACAAACATGTCCTCATTGTGCTTCTGCAAATGAGCACTTTTAAAAAATATGATCGTTTGAGGTTTTTCCGGGTTGTTGCGTTCGCTTCTGAACACCATTTCTGTTCGAACAGGTCACGTTGGGACCCGGCAGACCCCATGCCTCAAGAACTGCTCGAGGTCGGTCCGGGAGTGGATTGCGCTTTTCCAAGATTCACCCGTGTCTCTTACAAACCTTGCAACTCTCGTTGAGGTTCGCCAAAACGAGCACATTCCAATGCATCATGCTTGAAAAAGGCAGCAAATGAATTGAGGACAAGAAGTGGACGAACAATTATGACCGTTGAAAAACTCTTGGACCCCGTGCCTCTCCTCTCCTCCCGGGGCGGGCTCTCGCGGTCTCGGCCTTGGTCAGTGGAAAGGTGGCGAAAGCCTGTCAGGTCGCTTGGACCAAGGTGGCGAAGCTGTCAGGTCGCTTGGACCAAGGTGGCGAAGCTGTCAGGTCGCTTGGACCAAGAGCAAGGCCATCGATTTGTGTACAGAAGACACAAGCCGAAGCGCAACCTTTCATCTTCGCATGGAAATCAGTGCGGTGTCCCAATAAGGGGGGGGGATTTGGTTTTTCAGTGAGGCCTCTTTGGCAAGGATCTCTCACGCCACGCCCTCTTTCATGCAAGACATCAGGCAAATTCCGTCCAAAACGCCATACGCCAAAAGACAGGTTGCGCGACCCGTCTCGGAAGGATCATTCCATTTGAGCCCCCAAAGTACGTGATTAAACAAATGCTCGGCTTTGCCGTTTGATGGGTAGATTAATATGTTCATCACCAACGCGGCCTCTAGCAAGCCTTGGACAGCCTTGAGCAGCTTGCTCAAGCGATATGTCAAGCTTCCAAAGCCATGTGGCGTTGTTCTTTTTGCATTGAAATGAGCTTCGGATGTTTCCGCGGGCACTGAGTGACTGAGAGGCGCACCTGATCGGCGATCTCGGCCTGGGCATCGGACATTGCACGGTTCTAACCCTTGGCCCGTCTTGAGAGTGTGTGCGTTGTGTCAATGCTCTCAAGAAATCGCTTTCGAACAAGTGAGTCTATTGGAATCTGTTAAGCAGAGCCATCGCAACCTCAATCCAAAGGCCGTGACGATCGCGGTCGTCGTCGTCCCGGCCGTTGAAAGACTCAGGATCGCGACCCTGCGAGCGTCCCTCTCGATCCACTTCAAAGGCCACTTGCCCGCCTGGGCCAAAAGCTCCGAGGGACTCAGGCGGTTCCTGGGTGCCCAGTCCTGCGCAGGAAAGTGATCTACGCCCAGGAGGAATGCGCAAAATTGTTTCCTTTCGACGGAGATAAGTAGTTTTTTGCAGAGCAAACTTGGGAAGTTTGCTTTCTGACTTATTGCCGGCGTGGGATTGCACCCGAAGGCAAGTTACACACCTCGAAGCTTTCGGCCTCGACAAGTCTCTTTTGGCCAAACAGCTAGAATGGGTTACGTATTCTTTCCCACTTTTTAGGACTGGACCCGGCTGCCCTTTTAGTTGCCTTGGAAGAGAACAAGGGCAAGCAACTGGGGGTCACAAGGCGCAAGCCTCAAGTCTTGGCTCAGTTTCAAAGTGACCCGCACCGTCCCGCTGAAATTTCGACGGGCGGGTCCTTTCTCTCGTACTTGTTGCGGATCCAGCTCGCAATCCTGGGCTCGACCTACCTGACAGCCTCCTAAAAATCCAATACTGTGCTGGTTTGGGTTGTCACTCTTTTGAAAACAAAACCTGCGCTTCAAAACGAACAGGTGCCCCAGGACTTAGCAACAGCATGCTTGCAGATTTCGCCCCCAGAAAGTTGCTTGGTCTCAATCTCATTTGCAGGCCAGGCGGCTTCTCTTTGCTGTCGCCTTCTGATGGCTGCTGCACATCCTGCCAGAAGAAATCGTTGTTGGTTGCTTTCCTACAGCGACGCGTTTGCAGAACACAAGACCACAAATGTTGCATAAACGCTTTCTGACTTGTGAACCATGCAATCTGTGCACAGCCGCTGCTCCCTAGGAAGTCTGTAGAGGTAGTAGTCGTTGCCGATGCGATTGCCAATCTTGCCAACCTTGGCATATGCAAAAGGAATGCTGTTTCTACACAACAAATAGCCACAGCTGCAAAATTGGAGCTTCAGTTGTCATGTCTACTTCGCTTAAGCCATCATCATGTTGTGTCGAGTTTGCCCCAAATCTTTCACATCATTGATTGCAGGGCCAAAGCGAGATGAAACGTTCCAGGTCGGACACTCGGGCGCGCGCTGTGTTTATCCATTTTGGCTGCCACTTGTCCAGCGTCACGCTCTTCACTACCTGCCATGTTTGAATAGAATATATATATATATACTCCTTCCACAGCCTCTTGATATTTCCTTTCTGAGTTTGTGACCCGCATCGCGAAAAACCATCAAGAAATGCGCCAGGAGCACGGACACGTGGACTCCCAAAGAGCGGTGGGTCCCACTGCAGTCGATGCAAACAAGGACCCCGAGATTCACGGAGGCCTCGAGAGAGGGCGAGGTCTTGCCGCGTGTTTTCGTTGGGTTGAATTCTCTCAACCATTCCCCTATTGAATTGCAAATGCGCACATGTCACTCAAAAAGATAGGGGGAAAACAAGAACCAGAATGCACTCGGCTCCCCGGCCCAGCGTGGCGCTTTGGCGCCGCAGTCTGCACAGATCCGGTTCCTTGGCACCACGATGCCGCGTTCCTGCCAGCCTCTCCTTCACCCGTCCCTGACACCCTAGGATCGCGGCTCTGGTCTTGCCTCGGGCAAAAATGCACGCGCTTGCGCATCGGCAAAATCTGGCGCGCAGAACGTCACAGCCGTTTTCTCTGTTCGTGACCTTGAAAAGACCAACCGCAATCTGTTCCTTTGGCTGCCTTCCTCGATAAAAGCTGATCAAGCAATTCAACCTCATTCACTCAACTTCCCACTCACCTCGTTCGCTTCTTTCTGGCTCGAAACGAAATCCATGGATGCAGTGAGACACACGCCAGCTTGTCTGCACACGGCCTGCGCTGAAACCTCACCCCTCGTTGCAGGTGGCCCTGCAAACACAATCACTTCCTAACTCCCTTAAAGGCCCCAGTCACTGAGTGCTGCCTTCATGTTAGCGCTGCCCTGAACCGCACCACGTCCATTCGCGCAGGCCACGGTTCCATCGGGCTTGAGCACGACAAGCATGGGGATGCCTTTGACATCAAACTTGCCTGCGAGCTCCTCCTTCTTCGCGCGATCGGAAAAAGGAACGCAAGCCCAAGGCATCGATCCATAGTAGTCGTCAAAAGAAGCCTGGTCGCGATCACTGGACACGAACACAACCTCGATGTCCTTCTCGGCATACTCGCTGTAGGCTTGGGCAAGCACCGGCGTGAAGCCACGGCATGGTGGGCACCAGTGCGCCGAGAAGTACAGCAAGACTGCCTTTTTGTCCTTCAGAACCTCGGAAGTTGGCTTGACGCCATCCTTGGTTTGAAGCTCAGGTCCGAGGAGGGCGTCCATGCTGGGAGACGGGGCTAAGTGCTTGAAGTGCTGCTTCCTTGAGCCCAAAATTATCCCATCCATTTTGAGCAACAACTATCTTAACTAGTAGCACATGCCAAGGAACCCGGACCACAAACGGCGTGTTGTAGGTAGAGGCAGATCCTTCTTTTTAAACGCGGCAACGCGAAGCGAACAGCATGCTTTCGGGTTTTGCGGCCACAAAGCGCTGCTCGTGAGGGGGGTCTTTCAAGATGGCAAGGTGAGTGTAAGTTAAGAAAGTGCGGGTAAGTGTGAGTGAGGATGAGAAAGGTTGAAAAACCAGGTGAAAGAAAGGGTTTTGCTGTCGAGCGAACTAGCGCCATTATTTGATTAATGGATGAATCAAGTCAATTTGTTACACATATCAATCCAGCAATCCGCCAATGAATCATCAAGCAATCGACTCAAGCCAGCCAATCAAAGCCAATCAAACCAAGCATCGATCAGCCAATCAAGCCAATCAAGAAACGCCAAGTAAGAAGGAGAAGAACACCAATAGAAGAAAACAAGAAGCCAGCACCAACACCAAGAAAAGAAGCCAACATCAACAACACATCGGGATGATAATGATGATGATGATGATGATGATGATGGTGATGGTGATGGTGATGGGTGATGGTGATGGGTGATGGTGATGGTGATGGTGATGGTGATGGTGATGCTGATGATGATAATGATCATCAGCATAGGCTAACCATCATCGTAGCAAAACTTTGCGGGAATTGGTCTAAGGGCAAGCTGCGTGGGCTCAAGTCCCACAGCGGTCATGCTCATGCCAAGAACATCCACAGCCGTCACAACAAAAAACAGAAATGCACACGCACAAAAACAGGATAACATCCCCGGCATCACCTGCATCATCTGCACCAAGAACGGGCATTGCCGCAGATGATGCCAGTGATGCAGGTGATTTCGTCCACTGTGCACCTAAAAATGTTGCAAAACGTTGAACAAGTCACAGTGTGTTTCCTAGTTTTCGGTTGTTTCGTGTCGCGTTTAAATTTCCACAAGCCTGTTTGTGAAGTGTCGGCTTGTCAGAAGCGACAAGTTTTTATCCGGCAAGGCCAATGGTGAAATGAATGCTGATTGACCCAAACAACTGAATTCAAGCCCTGTTGGTCCAGAGAAGCATTCCAACAGTGTCTGGCAACTTGCAAGCAAGTAAGAGTCGCTGATTGTTAAAAACATTGCCCTCGTACAGATGCAAACTGCGTCTAAGGTTGGCGCGGCGACCTCTCAGCTCTTCCCGCAATTGACACCTCCAGCATCATCTTCGTCTTCTCAGTTGCCATAGTTAAATCTTAACGCTGAAACTGCGGGCTGCGCAGCAATTCAACTTTTGCCGTCCACCATGCAAGGTGCCAACTACACTGTTCTGTTGCTAATTAGCCGGTAGAAACTGGCTGCGGTCTTTGTGTTGTTGCCTAAGACCCCTTGCTTGCCGCTGTCCAGCGATGGGCCGCACGGATCAAAAAAAAACGCGTGGTAGTTTGCTTTGTTTTTTTTCTTATCAAGTTTTCACATCCGTGTTCCAGAGTTCTTTGCCTTTTCTTAGACTTTCTTTATTGTGGTTCTTGTTGTTTTGGTCGTTGTGTTCTGTTTTGCTTTAATTCGAGTTTCCTCTCTTGGCTCAATTTGTCAAGTTTCTCTGTGCTGAACAGCTGTTCAGGCTGTCCAACCTGCCCAAACTTGCTTGCAACTTGCGTGTTTACAAGTCAAGCCCACGCCATGCAAAGCGTCTGCCTGCTGCATGTGCGTGGCAGATGGATGAGAAGGCGTATTTCGCTTTTTTGTTCTCATTTCAAACCCGCCACGTCACTTTTAGTGACCCCTTGCATCAGTGCCTCTGTGGCATTTTCCAAGGCTTTTCGATTGGCAACTTGTTGCCGACTTGTTCCTCGTCTTCGTTGACCATGTTCCCCCTTCAAAACGAGCCCAAAGCCCAAATTAGAGGCCTTCATTGGGAAAACATCCACATGCACGGCCTTCATGCAGGGCAAGTAGCAATCACCTCATCCAGCTCTGGGTTGACCGAATTCTTTGGAGGCATCGCGGTGCCGCCTCAGCGCAGTGTCCGCTCTGTTGTGAACAACTGCTCAAACTACAAATTGTGCAGGCATTGCAATTGTAGTGCAAGCCAAGCTGCACCAAACGGTGCTGCCAAAATCTTTGAGGGGTTGAAGCTGCAAAGGGCAGCAGAGTGGGCATCCAGCTGGACGGGAAAGAAGTACAAAGCCGAGTCGAAAACAACATATGCTTCTGGCCAAAATTGCAGCTTGATGCCTTGAAGCTCCTTTTTCCGGCTGGCGTCAATGGTCAGTTTCTGCAACATTTCAAATGCTTTGCTGATGGTTCGATGTATTAGAATTCAGAGATCGCAGGAAATGAGCTCTGTACATCTCAGCTCTCCGCAGGACTGGTGTCCGGCTAAGAATACTGGCGACCGGTCAGCCTCTAAAACTGAGGCTCACCGGTGCCAGGCTCCTGCAAGAGCAGCACAAAGTCTGCTGAGTGCGCGCGCTTTGGGCTGCAATAGTTTCTTTTTGTAGTTGTTTGCCATCCTGTAGGGTTGCCGGCTCCCCATCCCCACTCGCAAAAGGATACGCTCCAACAGCGAACCTGTCCAGCACAAACGCTGCACGGAATTTCTTTTGAACGGGGAGCAACCACAGGGGGAGAACATTGAATTCCAGGCTTGGAAGGAAAGCTCTGCCTGTACATGCTGTACATTACAGATCGGCTACACTTCTGCCTGTGGAGATCTGTGTCTCACACAGAAACTCAGCCGTCAGACTGCAGCTCTTGAGAAATACAGATTCGGGAGTTGAAACGGGGTCTCTGCCAGATCTGCTCAACTATCCAGATGCCAACTTTGAGCGTCTCCAGTTTGTCAGCTTGTCCACCCCCTCTCTTCCCTCCCGCATCTCTTCGCGCAAGAGGCGGCACGGTCGCAGAGTCGTTGAAGCTATGGAGGATGGCAGAAAGCTTCTGTGAGATCTTGTTCGAAGGAGCGGAAACTCAGATAGGTGGCTGCCAGGTGACAGCGTGAACAAATGAAGCCCTAACTGCCAAGCTGTTGGCCCAAAAGTTGTTGGCAATGGTAACGTTGTGATGTTTATATTCGAGACCGCGCCTTAAACCCTCGTCCAAGGCCGCCCTTTTGGCGTCTAGACTTGAAGCCGACTGCTCTGAGATCCTCGAGACCCAAAAACTCCTCGAGTGATGGGATGGAGTGTCCAGGTCCTTCCTGAAAGCCAGCACTGAATTGAGCCGATCCACCACCTGTCATCACAACTACTAATCAAAATGCGTTGACTTGGAAGCTTCTTACACAGTTGTTTGATTCAGTATCATCTTGAACACGGCGCTTCTCTCCGGTGTTTAGCGCTCTGGAAAGCCCTTCTCTGCAGCTTGCATTGGCCGAACAACTCGCTTCTATTGGAAACTGCAATAGCACATTTAGTGAGAGTTTCAAAGCCAATGTGTTTTGCTCACATGCTTCCAGGACGTGCAACCTGGGCTTCCAGCCCGACACGACTCATTTGCCCGGACCAGGCTGAAATTGCCGACCTGCCCTCTGGTTGTCGACCAAGGCGGTCACCCAACTCACAGCTTCTGGCCACACAGCACACAAACCACGTCTCCCAAAGGCAGGCCACATCAGCCCGGGTCACGTCTAAGCAGCCAGGGGCATTCTGAAAGCCTAGCCCCGGCGAGTCTCATGCAGCGGATTAACTGGAATCTCAAACGAAATCTAGTCGGAGCTGAGCATCGTACGTAAAACACGGCTATCCACCAACTCGCTTGGAAACTTCCATTGGGCTGCAAGATCCATGTTAATCATTTTCTGCTGCCACGACAGGGATTAAAACAGCCCGCCCCATGAGACCATGGTTCAAATGTGTCTGCAACGCGTCTCGCGTCTTGGCACGCTCACGAGACGCGGTGTGCCGGGAGCCATTCCTGTGGGTCCTGAAGGAACAAAAACAAGTCAGTTGCACTCAAGGGCCAAATGTGCCCAGTGGGAATGGCTTCGCGGAATTGCCAGGCCTGCACTCAAAAGCAGGAAGTCGACCCCGGCTACAGAGCAGTCAGCCTACAATTATCAACATTGCAAACACGGCTGGCAACCTGTTCTTGCCGCTTCGAATACGGGTGAAATACTGGCACCGCGCGCCTCATGCACGGCGGGGCGCCACGCAATCTCACGGCTAAAAAGGCAAGCAAAGCCAGTTGGGATTGGACACTGGTCAATTTCAGCCAATTCTAAACAGAGTGCGGCAGCAATGTTCAACCTCCGTGCTTCCCGCTTTACGTTTGCTTAAATGTGGATTGGTGTGGTGAAGGAGTCAGTGTTCACGAAAACATGACCTATGATGATCTGATTTCTGCGCCCAGTTTTTGTCGCAGAATCAAGTCGTGGTTTGTTGGTCATGGACAAAGGGCCTACCATGGAACTGAAACTTTCTCAAGTCAAGGCGGTGAATTTGCGCTTTGCGCCTCGTCTCTCCCAACTGTCCAATGTATATACATCAAGCTCCATGCGCGTGTGGAGAGTCCGAGCGCGACAAGTGAAGATCCTTGGCTCAAGGCTCCCGTACCGCTCCCAGACCCATGGTTTGTGGTGGGAGTATGGGAGTGCTATGGGATCAAGGGATACCACTTTGGCTGACATTCCGCCAGCTTCCCAGAAACTCCACTGAAATGACGGTTTTCCAAAACCATGAACAAAGGATAGTATAGTTAAGTCCCTCTGTTCGGACGTATATGCTTTCTTCAGGCACCCCCTCATTGCAAATGTCTCACAAGGCGCTGGGTTCACCACAAACCAGTCCGCTGATTCAAAAAGGATCCCACTCCTGCATGGTTCTCTTCTTGGTCTGCCCCGTTTCGATATCTAGCGCCAAAACAAGCCCCATCATTATACCATTGTCGTCACCCGCAAGCGGTAGATTGAGGGAAAACAAACTTTGACAACCTCTAAAAGAGCAAACATATGAAGTTCAGTCACAATCCATAGAACAGTCAAACGAAAATCTTCTGAGAATCTGCACTTGACGATACAATCTGTCATGGATCATGCATCCTCACTAGCAAGTGCAGGAAACACATGCAATTTGACAGAATATCTAGTAGTCCCCTTGACGCTCCTTGCCGAATGCATGCACCCACACGATCAGTTTGAAAAGCCTCCAAGTGCCAGCAAATGTGTTATTCCTATTCTACTGAAAAGCCTTGATTGGGAGAGAATCAGGATCGGCCTGGGATCGCAACAGCCCTGCGTGTTTGGATTGCCATCTGCTGCTGGGCCACTGGAGCTGAACGCGAGTCCTCCAAAAGGGACCCGCAGGACGTGCCTGGCCAGAGATTCGATGAAAGACCAGGTGTACAAGCCATGGCAAGATTGGCTATGTTGAACCACGTCAGCGCTTGTCTTTTGGACAATCCTGCTACACCAACACTGTGAGCTTGCTTTCAACATCCCAAGAGAACCTCCTCTCAAGTGCTACAGTACCCCAAACATGTAAACCTTCTTGGATGCTTTGGCCAAAGAGCAAGTGTTTCCTTTGGTGACCTTGGAGCTGGAAAACATCCGAAGACCAATCTTGACTGGGGTTCACTTGAGACTTGATTGGAACTAAGGTGATGAGTCACGAGTCACGAGTCACGCGCAAGGTCTCTTGAAACAAACCTCCCGTGGCTACCAGCTTGGTATCTATGTCGGTCAGGTTGCTCGCGGAGGAGGACTTCCGGCACTTCTTGGGACAGAAGTCCTGGCACCGAAGACGCGAGAGTTGCACCTGACCTATCAAGCATCAGCAACATTTTTGCACAACCTTTGCTCATGTATCACCCGCGAAAAGAAAAGTCAAGACTCAAGCCCAATCAGTTGCAGCTGTGTCCATTCCCAGTGCCTGTCAATTTATCTCCTTTTGCTCTTTGCAATTTCCTGGCCCAATAAATCATGCACCACACCCTCTCCCTCAACCGTCCTGCTTCTCAGCCTCTGCTGAGGGGCAGAACGCGTCTCCAAAAGTACGGGCTGCCTTCCTGAGCGTCATGGAGATTGCTGGAAGCGTGGATGTATTGTCACTCTAACAAGTACGTCTCTGCCCTTCTGCAAACTTGTCATGGTTGTGTTCTTTGCATGCGGACAAACACAACAAACCGTGTTCTCACCCGTAGCAGCCTTGATGTTCATTCTCTGGGCAGCCTTGAAGATTCCGTAGAATCCCTCATGTCATGATATCGTTGAAGCTTACAGTATTTGCTTTTTTATTATAGCCAGTCTGTCATACCGAATGCTCAACCATGAACATGCACGCATGCATCCAAAAAACACATAACTTGGATCTGCAACAACAGAGAATTGCCAGGAAAACCGGGGAACCGCTGCTGTTTGGCCTGTCTCGCTACCGACTGGGATTTTGAGGACATCCAAATTCAACATGCAGCCGAACGCTTACCATCAACGGCTCCAGAGTTGTAGCCCTACGGTCGCGGCCCTCCACAAACAGTGGTCTGTTGGAGGCATTCAATCTTACGAAAGGGCTCGACTGATTCCACTGATGGGTGGTATAAGTACAGGTGGTGCACATTTCGGTCTGCGACTCTGGATGCCTGAGGCCCAAGACCCCCCCCTGCCCTCTACGCCTCCTTGCGCGCTGCAGCTTTTCCACTGAAGGCCCCAGGGCCACGGTGCTGTTGGCACCTACCTGGAAAACTACCTGGGCTCAGCCGAACACGCTAGGGAGAACCAGAGTGTGAATTCATGTCCTAACTGATTGCAACGCAACCTGGGAACTTAGCGTGTGTCGAAACTTGTTGGGTTGTTTGCGCGTCGGTTCGAGTCCGCTTGGAAATGGGTTGGACTCCGCTTCGAAATGGTCGGGACAATCTAGGTAGCATAGACTTGTCATATTGTAAGAGTTGCAAGCATCAAAGCTAAGGAAGGGATGATGGGCAAGTCAGCAAGCCCTGTGCTGTTGGTATGGACCTCAAATGATACAGAAAGTCACAGAGATGCAGCGACACAGACACAAAACGAGATACGAGGGCCCAGAGACACAAAACTCCAAACACACAAAGACACGGAGACAGAAAGAGCTGGCAGTAAATTGGCCAAGTGACCCTCTCCTCTGGTGCGATCGTAAATGTTGCGCCTGGCAAGTGCACGAGTGAACAGGTTGAACCTCTACATAACCTGTTCTCTCCTCAATTTGTTTGTCCCCGCTGCCCAATTTGGGCAATCCGCCAAACAAAGCTAGTGCAACGATCTGGCCACCAAGCTGATATACTCTGAAGCAGTTCTCACCGGGAAGGCAGAAGCATTGAGGCAGGAGACAAACCCAGCACTCCTCCAAAACATCGCCTTTTTCAACCTTCGCCGCTTCGACGCATATTGATAGCCAAAAAGCTTTTGCACAAATGGCACCCATGTCAACAACCCAAAGAAACCCTCAATATGGCCAAGTTCTGGAGCCCTCTGCACCAAAATCCAGGGGAAATTACCCCGGCCGCGGGCCTGCCTTGAGGCGCAGACACGCCCATACCAGGATTCTTCACACTCATGCGCCACGTAGCACGTGTCTCTCCTGCCGGGGTGCAGAATTCTGGGTGGCCCGACCTGGATCTCTGACTCGCACGCTGTCACGTTGGAGCTGGGATCTATTGGCTCAACTCTCAAACTAAGATTACTGCAAGTTGAGAGGGACTGACTAGCTGGGAAGGTTTCTCTGGACAAGGTCCGCAGTCTGTTCGGTTTTATGTGCTGTGGTTTGGAGCTTGCCGCGACCGGATCTTGAAGATTGGTTTCCCCTGCGATTCTCAGAACCAACTTCCTCATTCCATGAGTTCGTGACCAAACCATGGCCACTTTTGTGCCTCAGCAACTTCCAATGATCTACTCCACCTTCCCAAAGGCTCCATTGCTCCCACTCTGGCTGAAGCTCCTGACCAGAAATCGGCGACCACTGTGCAAAAGGGCAGAACCACAACCACGAACCTCAGAGAAGATCTGAGGCTCACGGCCAACCTCTCGCAAATTCATTCGAGCGGTTACACCCTCTTCGAAGCGCCCCTTGCCTTGTCTGTCAAAACACACTTCCAACTTCGGAGACCTCCGCCCTCATCCATCACCGCTTCTTCTGAACTTCCCGCCGTCACGCGCTTCATTGGCATCGATGGTGGAAAGCGTCAAGCGAATCCCCTTGTCACGGTGTGGCCAGGTCGCAACGTGTGAAAGCCCTTGGCCCGTGACTCCTGTCAACTCCTTTGCTACCCCCAGCCCATCGCCTCTTTGACTGGGGCAAACAAATTCTGTGACATGGCCTTGACTGCGACTCGCTGAGCGGCTGAAGAGGTAGCACCGCTTCATCGCCGAAGACCTGCAAACATGTTGCAGGTCTACACCAGTACTTGTGGCAAGAACTGGCGCTACCCCTCCAGCTTCCCTCCAAAAAGTGGTTTGGATCGGGTTAAGCCGGTCATTCTTCATTTCGTTCTGGTCCCTTTGCAGCCAGTGCCCTGCCTGAACGTCGCATTCTGCTTGGGAACCTACGGCCAGAGCTCGATCCAGAAGCACCCGGCCTTGGAGGCAGGGGCCATGTGGTCAAAACCCCATTGAACATGCGCAATCGTTTTGCTTCGCTTTCCCCAGATACATGACATGTGGCTGTGGGTCAAAATAGGATAACCCGAAAATGGGTAACCCTGGTAAATGGAACATTGACTAAAATCTGCGGGCCCCTGGTGATTTAATGTTGACCCACATGTCGCTTCCGAGTGCTTGAAAGCCACACAAGTACGCAAGTGCTGTTTCAACCCCCACACCCGGCGCAAGCATCCCGCCTGCGGTGCCTCGAACCTCCACCCGCAAAGGCTGAGGCTGCCCCACCTGTGCGGACGGCGACCCCAAGAAATGAAGAGTTGGTTGGCCATGTCTCATCGCCTTTGGATATTGCCCTGCATCTTCCGACTCTGTAAACGGGCGGTTGGTGGACAAGGCTGGACTGCTGCCTTGAAGGGCATGACCAGGCTCATAGGGAGGGGTCCCCTTCAGCAAACACGCATTGATCGGATTTGGACCTTCTTGGTGAGACTCTGCTGGTTTTGCTGATCTCCACACTGGTGAGCATACCGCTATAGGACTTGGTTTGATTCGGGGGCTCGCCCGAGCATGCCTGCCCAATATACGGTCACCTCCGCCGCGCTCCATGCGACAGTTTTGCGTTTTGCATCCTTACTCGAACACGGCCCGAAGAGTTCGCGGGCTCGGAGTCAAGTCAACTTCACTTGCAAACAAGGATGCCCACCTGGGCCCTCGCCCCATGCACGCCTCTGTTGGCGCACCCCTCTGGAGCAACGCCAGGTGGAGCTCCTGGCGTTCTGTCATCAGAGGGCAGTGTGTGTGTGTGTACAAAACTGGCAGCCTGGATTTTGTTGGAAATAGGGGGATCGCAGCAAAAGAAACGCAATGGCAAGGTGCTGATCCCAATATCTACATCGAGTAACACCATTGACCAGTCAGTTCTGATCACAGGGCCTCAAACGCATTTGTGCTTTTCCTGGGCTAACAGGACCTGCAAAGCACATCCCACCAACACAAAGCGCCAAACGAACGCCCTCGTGGCCCAGCGCACCTGCGCAAAGGCCTCACGGATGGCCCGGCACCGTGCCTGCCGCAACAGCATGAAGCCATGAAAAAGGCAATAAAGCGGACGAGTAAATAGATAGAAGCATGGGCGCTCGACGAATGATCGCAAGTAAGCGATGGCTGTCCTCGCACTGGGGGCCCTTTTTCCCAGCTGGCTGTGGGTCAAAATAGGATAACCCCAAAATGGAACCCTGGTAAATTGAACCAAGGACCAAAACCTGCCCGGTCCATATCCTGGTGGTTTCATTTTGACCCATACCCATCTCAACCCTCTCGCGCCTGAGCCTCTTTCGAGGCATCGGGGCTCTCGGCGAGGAGGACGTTCTGCAGCTGCTGCGCCAGCCTGCACTCGCCCATAGGCCCCAAAGCAAACGCTTTCCCAGTGGTGTCCCTGCAAAACAGCAGCAAACACAAGCAAATTAGCGAACTTGTGGAGTGTAAAAATGCAAGAACTCAAAGCAAGCACACTGCAAATAGGTCAAGGGAAATGCAAGCTTCCCGCGATCTTCCAGTGGATTTTTGGAGTTCGTTACATTGCTGAGCAGCCACATTGCTTTTTAAGCGCCGAGTCTTCCGCGCTCTTTTCGGTTGGAAACATTGCTCCTTTGAAACTGCCCGTGTCAGGCGCGCGCTTCAAAGCGAATGTCGGCACGCCGCCACGGATCTAACCTACGACATCCTCCTTGGATTCTGGAGGTCTCTCGATGACGACCAACATCAGGTTCGGCCTTTAAGTTGTGGCTGCAAGCTCTGGCGCAAGAGGCCAAAGTGTCGAGGAATGAGGATTCAACCACCGATTCTAAGCCGAATAAATATAATAACTGGTCACAAATCATTGCCCTGGCCAACCGCCCTCCTTGCGGCGTCTCACTTGCAGTCCCAGATCTTGGTGTCACTCAGATTGGCCTCCCGGCCAACCTTCTGGTTGCCCCAAACCTGGCAAAGCGGCAGAGCGCGTTCGCATGCAGTCTATGCGAGCCTTTCTTCCGTCGGTCCAGGCTGGGCCCCAGAAACCCAACCTTTCCGCTTCTCGGCGAGCAAATCGGTTTCCCCGGTTGTGAGAGGTTCCCGGACAGGCTCCGCGACATTCTGCGCGCCTTCTTGAGGTCAGCCTTGCTGCCGCAGTAAGTGCCCATCCACTGGTCCAGGGGGATGTGTTGGGCCCCATAATTGCAGTCGAAGTGCTCGTGGTGTAACTGGTGGAAGTAATCCTAAAGCCAACAGCTGAACAGAGTCCCAGCTACCAAACAGGGGGTTCCGGGGTTTGCCAAATGCAGACCGGGTGTCCCCGGAGCCAGGCCAGCGGAACCCATCGTGGCCCAGCCAGGCCCCCACAGCGCAATCGAACATGCCTCGGTATCCGCCCCCGCCAACAAATATTGAAGCGCAGTCGAGGTTGAACCTCCAGGAGGGGGCCATGGCAAAAATGGCCAAACTCCTGACTCTGGGGCTGCGATATGCCAAGGAACAAGCAAGAGCCATGGCCGGGTGCAAGCGAGCGAAGAAGGCCGTGAAGAGAGCCGGCTGCCCATAGTAGCACGTGGCCTGCTATGGCACGCAGGACTCCCTAGCAAAAACCTAACTTCAGCCAATATCCCAAGTCCAGGAAAGGGGTGACACAGTGCTTGCAGCCAAAAAAAAGTGTGCACCTGCAGCACGCAGAGCGCTCGCGTGCTCACTACAATGCCAGGCGCCACAGAAACTAGACAACTGCCAAAGAAAAAAGGCTGGGCAACAAGGAGCAACTATCTGAGTGCAAGGATACCCATTTCATGTGCTCGCCCGGAGCCCGTTGGCCCCGGCCAATCCGGAACCCCCGCCTCCACAACATGCATGTTGGTTCCACCGAAGGCAGTGGGTATGTAGCTCTTGTGGTGTTGCGCATGCACATACCGGTAGAGCACCTCGCAGGTTGCAAAGCAGAGTGTCCCAGGGAGTGGCTGCCAGACAGACGCCTTAATGCTTCAAGTGGAGGTGCAATGTGCAATCCTTTTGTTTCTCCCTTTCTTGTGGTTTGATTGGAATCAGCGACTTGGGGACCCGGACCGGGTCCAAGGGCTCTGAAATCTAAAAACGTGGACGCGCCTTGCCGAGGTCCGGCACCCGGGTGGTGCGCCAGGGGTGGAAGGCACGGTGCATGAGGTAGAAATGGGGAACGCGCCAGTGCGTAATGGTGAGAGCCATCACAAAGTTCCTGTACAGCTGTCAAAGTTGGGGGGGCTGACTCCTTTGTCTCACTGACTCTCAAAAATTGCGCAGTCAGGTTGCGACATGCAAATTGGCTGACAGCCCCGCGCTGCCAAAACCAACAAGCCATTGAATTCGAGGTTCTCGACTTGCGGCCGGGCTACCGCAGCGGCGTCTCTGCCATGCTCCGCTGCATCGGCAGACGCCCAGTGGCCCAGAGGTGGCACATCAACACCTGGTTTCTTCTGCAGGGATCTATTCTTGTGAGACCCCCAAAGGCTCTGCGGCTGGCAAGTCCGAGTAAACTGACACGCACGAAAACATGAGCAGCTTCCTGGCTTCCCGGCTTGTCTGACCCAAGCTGCCCTTCATGCCTTTACCACCTCAAATGGGACCAACTTGACAAGACTCATGTTGACACATTCTCTCAAACAATCATTTTACCAAGATTTCATGCAGCATCTCGCCTCCACAGCAGTAGCGCAAAGCGTCGCTACAGTGGTCGCCACCGCGTCGTGGCGGATCTGCGAGAAGGGCGGATACTTCCTCGGGTGAGCGTGGGCCAACACTGCAGGTGTGGGCTGAGTATGTGGGACACAAATCTGCGAACTAACACTGCAACGCAAAGACATCCAACCCCCCCCCCCCCCGCCCCCCGGTGGCTCAGCTTGCTCCTGCCAGGTCTCGGGTTCATCTTGAAGCGGCGCAGCGCCTGCAGAATCCCCGGTGAATCGGAGGTCCCAGGGAGGGTGATGGTGGTACCTTTCAACGACCCAAAGGCTCAATCCCCTGTGCCCTTTCACTTGCCAAAGCTTGATTCTGCGCTGCTTTACCTCAATGAGGCTCTGCCTGTTTGAGCCTGGCAAGACTATGTCAGCCTACACAAGCATGGTGCAGAAAGGATTGGTGTTTGGAACAGCCCAATCCTTGTTGTGCAATGTGCTGGCAGCTCGTGCAGTGCTGTTTTCAGAAACATCCAGAAGGAGGCCAAGCCTCCCTATTTAGAGTGGCGTGGGCTCTTCGCATGTAGAACACAGGATATCTTCAACTTTCGTTCAGTGGATGCCCCATCTGAGTGCACAAGCCGTGGCATTGTTTAGATCCACACAGCTACCAACCCTTTCTAGCGCGCTCCATCTTCACATTCAACAAAAGCCATGTCGCCTCCTTCATTGGCGACATGTACAGGAACCAATCCCAGAAGCCGCAAATACACCACGTCGCTAGGAGATTCCTTGGCATCCGATCAGTGTGCATGGGACGGAGGTGGACAAATGCGAAAAGCCCTAAGACCAATTCCAGATTTTATCTACCAAACGGCTGGAAGACATGCGCAAACCCTTCCAATCCAAAATCAAGTCTTCCACCCAGGAGTAGTACCCTTCGTTCATGTGTAAAGCGTTGACCTCAACAAACGTGAGGGCAACACGGCCAAGCTCACGAGTCTGCGCCAATGTGCACAAGGAAGAGAAACAAAAACATGCCGGAACACGGGCCCTGGCAACTTTCAAAAAGCATGGTGGCTGTGCTCTAAAGTGGATCATGGACGCAAATGTCAATGTGGCCCCCAAGCCTCCCACTCAACTGCTGCTCATTCGCCGCATCAGGATTGGCCACATCCACGCCAAGCTCCATTCTTTGGCTGCACCAAAGGCAGGGTAGCCTCCCTGCGGCCGGCAACTGCGCTTTGTAAAAGAGGAAGGAAGGACATGCGGAAGCACGCCGGGACAACCATAGTCATAGCCATCGGATGTCTGATAGCTTATGGCAGGTAACGCCAGATCCAAGGGGAGGGGAACATAACTTGATCGCTCCATTCAATTCGCATGAGGGTGCAAACTCACACACACACACACACAAACACTTCAGCCCAGCAACTGCAGAATTGACCATACACATGCCAAGATCATCCGCTTGCCTCCGCATAGGCGACGTGGACAGCCAGGTAGGCCAGTAGGAAAGAGCGGGCCGACGCCGCGAAAGAGGTGAGGGTTCCCCACAAGTCCAGCGAGGCGGTCGCCTGGGCATAGAGCGCTTCGGGATTTTGGTTGGGAAGGAATCAGTTTCACTCAAAATGTCACTGGCTTGCAGGCCAGACAACAAGCTTCGTGCAAAGCAGAAACATTGTCTTCAGGCCTTTTCTGAGCCGTGCAATACGGCCCTTGGAACAAATGACAAATTGTTGCATGTGTTTTCGACTCCCCGTGTGTGGAGGTGAACAATAGTGAATCAGGCCTAAATGATGATGATTTCTTTGAACACCCCAAACGAGATTTGGTTCGAAAGCACGTGCAAGGCACTTGATCCACCTTTGCGATTATCTGTGTGCACCCGGGTATGGTTGCCATTCTGCCACGCATGACAACATGCAGGCAGCTCAAAGTCAGACAGGTAGGCAGGGAAAGTGGAATTGATTGCAAAGTTTGATACCCAGCTTGCTGACACCAAACAAAGCCTATTCCCAGATTATTGACCATTCCCTCATTGACCTCAACCAAACCAAGTGTGTCAGCAAACGCACCGTGGCTTGGGTTTAGGCTCTATCCGTTGCTTCGTCCCAAACACCTTCCGGTACCGTCCTTCAGTTCAGCCGGCTCCTGGTCCTTTTGCAGCGCAGAGCCCACGTGGCCCAGCGGCCACAGCGCCGGCATGTACCAGGGCTGCGTCATGGCACAAAAGCTGAGTCAAGCGTGGTGCAGAAATAGGCTTGAGGATGGGATAAGCACTGGCAACAATGGGGAAAAGCAGGGACCAGACCATGCTTCACCTGCAAAAGCAGGGAAGCTAGGGATTGTCAAGGGGAACAAAGAAAGCGCGTAGGAACTAAAGTCGGCTGTCCTCAGCATGGGCTCGGGCTGGGAATCAACGGCTGGCTGTAAGGAGTGTCAGTTAAAAAGCATGGCGGTGGTTGGCTTGGCCACTTGAGTCTGTGTGCATCAACAACAATTGCTTTAGGCGGCGGTGTCACGGTGTCACATCGACTCCTGGTGGTCTTGTCAGGGCCACTCCCAGAATACCGGCCTACCTTCTCAGCCTTTTCGCTCCACATGATTTTTGAACCCGCCTTACAGAAACCTGAACCAGCTGCAGGCGCGGAGCGATGTGGAGCCATCGTATCTTGTGGCTCGCTCGAGTCCAGGAAGGGGGGTCTTTCCCTTTCATTTCCCAACTGCCATGCACCTCTGTGGCATGAACAGACTTCGGCTGCTCTTCAAACCTGCATGGCGATGAGTTGAACCCATGTCGATCAAAACTTCCAGGTGGCACTTGCTTTACTATGGGCGGGTTGGCAGGCACAGTCCCAAGCAATCCTGTCCCACGCCTGGTGTCTTTCAAAGGACTCCCATGAAGGGACTCTGCCACTGCCTGGCACATGGACAACTTCGATGGCAGAAAACTGAAATTCCCGGGGTTCATTTGCCCCAATGAACAAATTGTGCGAAGCGGACAAATCAATCCCCTGGCATGCTGGCTTACGCAGAGCGTTCGGTCTGATGTCATGGCTGCCAAAGCAATATCAAGGCAACAACCATCTTTCCTTGATACATGCTTCAATTTATGCTTGGATTGCAGACGTGACAAGGCCAGGACGGTACTGTCTGAGTTCGGCCAAATGCATGTCAAAACAAAGTCCCTTTGTCGTTTGGGGCCTATCAACTTGGACAGGTGATCGTACCAAGTGGCACTTGGGGGCGTATGCTGTACAAGGCCAACGTGCGATTGAGTTAGATCCATCATATAATGTGCGGCAGTAAAAGGAAATAGCCACATATCACGTGCAGAAGTCATGCTTGTCATCCACGATCACTTGATTCTGGGACGAAACTGGGCGGAGAGTCAAGGCCGCTCTACCGCACCATGTGCGAATCGCGCAAACAATCAGATCAAAGGAAAGCACTAGGTGGTCGAGGTATATGGCTGTGGCTCAAAAAATGGCACCCAAATGGCACCTTCGTGTGGAAACAAAGACTAAAAGCGACGAGACCCCAGTTGAATTTTGATCCACGGGGGGCCCCTTTTGGCTGGCCCTGCCTGGGCGGCGGCATGCAGCGTGGGCATGGCCTCCTCCACTGCCTTTACGCACACCGCTAAGGGAAATCATGCCAAAATGGATCCGATTCGGAGGTTCTGCCACGTCGTTTTGGTTTTGTGAGAAAAAAGGAAAAAAGAAACCGCTTGCAAGCCATATCTCATACCTTGCTTCTCTTGTGCCGGTCAAAGCCGGCGAAAAGAAAAAACATGAACCAGCATAGACCTGAGATAGTCAAAAACATGCCAAAGTTTGTACACCAAGCCAAAACCCCCAAAAGAGTGCCCCAAACACCACCCGGCCGTCAATCTCGCAACAATGCTCCCGCACCGCCACCAGCACCTCAAACAGCACCCAAACAGCATCCCAAAACACCACCTCAACCAAGCACCTCAAACCGCATGCCCCCTAGCACCCTACCGTCCATCTTGCAAATATGCGCCCGCACTGTCACCTGCATGCCTGCTAGCACCCGACCGTCAATCAGCACCTCAAAACAGCACCTACACCAGCACCCCAAACTGCACGTCCCCTTCACCAGCCCATCAATCTCGCAAATCACTTTCCCCTCTTTTTTACAAGTTAGACCCTATAGCTTTCAGCTACCTGGGGAAACACATAATGACATCAAAGACCTTCAAACAATTTATGAAACTGTGGAGGTTTGTTTGTTTTGTTCGTAAGTTCCAATCCTTGGGTCTGGTGTCTAGTGCAAGCAGTTTGGCCGTCTTTTGTAGGGAACTGGTCTGTTGCGTGGAAGCCGCTTTTCGCGCTCCACTCCCACCTGCTCCGGGGACATGTCGTCCCAGTGGGTGCTCGCCGCGCGGCGCAGCGACTCCCTCATGGGCTCCCGAGGCCCCAGAGCTAAACTTTTGCGAAGCGAGACCAGGGAAGTACGCCTGATGCGATGCTATCTTGGAAGCGCTATGAGCGTGAAGCTGCCTGTGCTAATGCTTGAGCAGTTTCCGAAACGGGCAACCATGCCTTTTGCATGCACGGTGCCCATCCACCTGCGGTGCTGCAATGTCCTGTCCATGTCCCCAAGTCATGTCCGGAACTGACTGAAAGCAGGTCAATGAGCAAGCACAGATTTGGTCAAAACTCTTTGGTTGCCCACCACAAGCAGCCCAAGGTTTCCTTCACATCTGCTCGCCCTCAGCGCCCTTTCCCCAGCCCCGAATTCCACGCGAAACACCGGAAAGGGAGTCAGGCA